CCTTTCAGACATCCAAGCTCCATGTAGAGACGCGCCGAGCGGTCGCGGGGATCCTAAGTTTGCTTCAGTTCTCCTTCTCAAGTCAAGTCACCTAAAATTAGATGCCACTCATTTGCTCTAAGCAAGCCTAGCACCAAGCCTAGGGAAAATCTTAGGCTTAAGCATAGTAAGCCAACGGGTAAGGATAAGCCCGAGTCTAGGCCTGAACCCAAGCATAACCTCAGGCTTTCATTGTGGCGAAGTTCTGGTAACTTTAACTAGAAGGTGAACTGAGCTCTCCCTGGCATCCCAATTTACCCTGGTCAACCGTTTCTTTCATCTTTTATTTCAATTTATTTATTTCTCTTTTTTGATCGAGGTCAGTAAATTGGTCCGAGATCAGTACCTCAGTACATCAGTAACTTACAAATTGGTGGTACTTTACAGAAACGGTACCTTACACAAACCCCTTTCGTTCAGAAATTGAAGGGACTTGCGGTGTAAATTGCGGTCGTCTACAGGCAGCTCTGGTGGCGTCACTGTGGGGAAAACAGGTTCTGATATATTAAAATCATCTTTCAGTATTTCGTCGACAGAGAATTGTCTTCAAAATCAAAAGGACAGGTAAACAGGTTAAATTAGTCATATTAAGGATGACTAAATGTTGTAATGTTGAAATTCATTCACACCTCATAACACAAACCGATAGTTCAGTTAGCGAACTTGCCGATCGTAGTTGAGTTGAAGACCTAAGGCTAATCACTCAAACATAATTGATGTCTAGTTCCTTGCCATCGATGTTTACCAAGTCCGTCTTCCAATACCACGTCAACTGATCTATGAATCGTAACCTAATGTACTGCTCTGCTAATTTGAAGGCATATTTTTCTATGGACTCAAGTTGACCAACCCCTTTGGTGAGAAGGATGGAGCTGTCCACTGAATTGACGATGTGCCGCTTTGTCGGCTGAAAGTAAACGACGATACCTAGTACCGATTGAACCGCTTCTCATTTCCCCCTATCACCACGTGAGGATCTCTGCGTCCTCTCATCCGCTGTGCTCTCTCGCCCATACCCTCCTCTCCACGCTCACTGTCTCATTGCCTTGCCGCATCCGAATTACAAAAAAGGTAGCCTTTAATTAAAGCGTTATCGACTAAAATAATTGCACCAGTTTGTCATGGGCAGCGTTTTTGAATACAAAAGAAGGACATGAGTCAGGTACAGTCAATCATAAATCATGGTTCCATTTGGATTACTCATTAGGACATTACCGAGAGCGGTACTGGATCACTAACCAAGTAATATGGGCTATGGTGGTGTAAGCAAGTGGCACCATTTACCATAAACATGTACCATAAACATGGGTTGTATGGGATGTCAGCCGAGTATCGGATGTTGTCCAAGTCGTCCATGCCTCTGATCTCTCCAGCATCGTTAAACAATAGTTAGATTTATTAAGGAGGACGAGAATACATCGTTTCGCAAAGCATTGTATAAACCATTTGGCAGTCACGAAACTTCTTAATGGAAGTGAAGTGCGCGGCGCAATCCGAGATGAATTGACAAATGTGAAATGCTTTACTGTTTCAAACTCACGACATCATTTTTCGTACTCAGAATATCTACAACTCAGTTGAGCATGGAGTAGCATGGAGTAGCCGGCGCTGAGCGTAAAACCCGGTATACGCCATGCACTAAGACCTCACTCAGAATCGTTGACGTATTTGGATTCGCACATGACTAATGCAAGGTGAGTGCACTCCGACCTTTATTCGATATTTCGCTTATCCAAACAAGCAAGGAAATGAATTACTTACACAAGAAGAATGGTTTGTGATTCACTTCGAGAAAGGTTTTTGTTGACTAATGTGGCTCTAGCTTTACGTTATCTCCCTCATCATGAGCGCGTGACCTGTGTCCTTCAAATTACTATAAGGTCTGAGTTCGAAGAAAGAGGAACTTACCTAGCGGAAAGCATGGTGAAAATCGGTCGGGGACTCGTCGACGACACGTCGAAGACGTCATCTCGTGCGAGCCGTCAGTGCTCCGCTAGTACATTCACCCTCGGAACTATTCTCACACAGTACAGAGCCATGGTCGTAGGAGGGATGTGCCTCCGCAACCTATCATGACCGTCCCCACGCCGCTGTCGCCGCGGCACACCCGCTTTGTTGCCGTCTGAGCTTCTAGCCGTCTAGCAGAGAGAAAGAGCGTTAGCGTTGAAGAGGGCAGAAAACGATGAGAGTCACATCAATGCGGAAATCAGAGGGCAGAAGTGGTCCCATTTCTCGGCGTTTCTCATGGATTTTTCTTCATCCGCACTACACTGACCACCTAAAGAGGGATGTCCTCCCATCGTAAACTCCGTCTTTGAATGAACACTGAGTTCATCAACTGACCTTATGTTGGCACTTTTATGAGACCTTTATAAACCTGCTACCTTTCTAACTTTATAAATAACTTCCGGCATAGTTTCTGCTTCAGCTGGTAAATCCACAGATATTTTACCAGTTTCAGATCTTGCACAAGACGCTAAGCGCTGAACGCTCGCCAAAAATGACGGAAGAATCACTCAACGATTGATGCACTTTTACACTTTTATGTACAACTGAACATACAACGTCATAGTATTATTAGATTAATGATTTATGTTACATCTCTTCGATTTCGATATTATAGCGAAGTTGTTTAGCCGAAAACCATGAGTAATAATTGTCGAACTCGATGATATCTGGAAAAGTTCCAATTAATTGACGATTGTGCTGCCTGCTAGATGGTCGATCACCGACATCAGAATCTCCAGGAGATTTCTGATCGGCCAACCATTTTAGAACCCATCGCGCAGATTTTACGATACTCTCGGAGTGCCCATAGTGGTCAAAGTGTTCGGAAAGAAACCGGGATTCTGATGATGGAAAAGCAGCGGACTCCGCCAACTGATGCCAGCTGCGTCTGGCATTAGCCCAGCACTCGTAGCTGCGTAGGACTGGCCCGAAATAAACGGGGGGGTGATCAAAGAGTTGGTTAAATTCTCTCGAATATTTGTAGCAAATAAATTTTATCCCAGCGGTGCAGAGTAGTGAAAAAGTCTTCGCAATGGCCCAGGAACGGTTTATGGACAACTTGAACTCGGTGACAACAAATCGCCTCAACTTGATGCTCTCCTCCTGCGCTCTCTCGGGGGAAGCAAAGGAGGGGGGCGAGGGTCCAGATGCGACCCCCACCATCACCATCAGCCTTAGGAGACTCCCTCAATACGAGACCCCTTTCTCCCCACCCTATCACCACCCACCGCCATGGTTGCTTCTACAGTTATTACGCCGATTCATGGAACTCCCACCGTCGATAAACCGTCGAGTACGATCCCTTCTAGCAACCCTGTTCACACTTTTCCAAAGACAGCTAACCTTCCTGAACCCCAAAACGCCACCTCCTTCCCAAAACCGTAAATGCGACCCCCCCCCTCCCGTTCGTAAAAAGCTCAGCAGCGTTGACTTATACGGTCGGACGGCACTTCATATGCAGCGAAACTAAGTTCGTCGATATTGACAACAAACAAGTAAACAAAAATTCGCGCGCCGTAAAGCCCGCGAGGGCAGAAGTATGAAAGCAGATTACTACATTTGTACGCAATTTGATAAAGTGAATTTTTTTCAACATTTTTAATAGCCAGCGACCAAACTTAATGGTGCCATTTAAGGCTCCTTCTTGTTGCCTACCCGGCCCCGGTCAAAACACAATAATGACCCAATAAACGCAAGAATCTTCAAATGATTATTCGAGAAGAACTCACAGTTTCCTGCCTTCTCAGCCACATAGTGGCCAGAAATTGGAACATTGGTGCATTCAAGGCGAATGTAAGGATAGAACGACCTCCATTTCCGTGAGATTGTTCGCCTAAAACGAGCTAGTGTAAGAATCTAATAAGAAGCCAGTCGTTTGATAAACGAGAATAAACTTTGTTTTGTGAAGTCCCAATCATGTCGAAGGGCAACTAACGGCCAGGCTGTTGGAGGGTGGGGTGGAAACAAGCCGAATGGGTAATCATTCAAAAGTTGGACGCAAAAATATTGAAGTAGTCTCAATACTCCAGGGCGACGCACCTCTTCGCTGCGGTGCGCAGCCTGACCTCCAGCAGGACAAACGCACACAACCCAGTCGTGCGTTGGTTTTTTTTTTCAGAAAGTAGGACTCCTGCAGGTCGGTTCGAGAAGCCGACGCTCCATCCATTATTAACCATCAGTTTTGAAGGGTTCCCCTATATGCTCCCTCTCCACGCCCCGACCAGCACCTTCACCCCCATGACTTTCGCTATAGCATGATTTGATTCTGAGACCAATCCACACGATTTACCTCTGTCCACTTTCTTCTTCTTTATTATGCTACAAAGCGCGGGGAGAATGGGAGGCGGAGGTGGATAAAATTTGATCTGCTACTCTTGACCCTTTATGCTTTTTTTTGAATTTTGCCCGATATTTTAAAAAAGACGTCTAAAATGACCCCCTCCCCCTCCTGCGATCACGACTGCCTCAGCACCTCCAAAATACGATCCCCTTCACGGACATTTTACTTTGAACAACCTTTAATACGACCTTTTCCCCGAAACCAGCAATGCGAGCCCCTCATCGTTGGTATTATCATACAAACGGATGCTGCCGTGCCCCCACTTTGTACCCTTAATTAGCCACTCAAAACCTTCACAGTAGTGGCGCAAGGGATAAAAACGGGCGTTTTTCGAAGAACGCCAAAGCTTTGGCAAAATTTCATTTCTTCACATTTGCTAAGCAATATGTGGTATAACTTCGAGCTATAGGTGGGCGTGGCACGAGACAAAATTCATCTTTTAAAAATTTTGGCCTCAGCACGGAGAAGTGGTTTCGTGGGAAAACAAACACGGATCCATTTTGTAGGAAAATTTCAAGCCAATTTGCAAAATTGAGAAATACCCTTTAGTAGGCGAACGACTGCTGCTTTTGAAAGCTAATAGCTTCGAAAATGAATGCAGAAAGCGGACTTGAAGTGGACCGCTACTGGAGAAAAGGAAAAACACCGGAACACGGTAAAACTTGACAGCCTTTCTCATGTTTGTGAGACGAACTGTGGACTGCTAAGTTGAGTTTGGGGGGGGGGGGGGAACCACGCTCCTCAATGGCTTCGTGCCGCGGATGGGTGTTTCGAAACTGCCACGATGATAGCAAAAGGGGGACCACCTCCTTCCAAGGCTTAGTCCCCGATGGCGCGTATTTCGAAACTGCCACGTGGCGACGAAATAGTAACTGCCCCTTGGACTAAGCCTTAGAGGAGCAGACGAACAGAGCGCCGCGCCGCCGCGTGGTCCCCCCCCCCAACCCACTTAGCACCGAACTGTGTCACGGCAAAGAGACATAGAACGCTTAGAAGGGAAGAGACGAGAGTGCACTCTGGGAAAGGGGACGCAGACACCACGCCGTGTGGGCATTTGCACTATGAGCAATAAAAAATACGGCCACATACTTTTATTTGGGCATAGGTACCCTACAGAAGGCCGCCGCGCGGCGAGAAAGCAAAGGTGCAGACACGCCGCAGCAGCGTGTACTACAATGATTTCGCGCTAAGCTACTTAGAATGTGCCATAGCACGTCCCACATCACACAGCACGCGCTGCGACGCGTCCGCCACCCGTCTGCGTTTCTGCCATCTGGTCGCACGACGGGCCTCCTGTCAGCTACCCATAGGTCTATTCAACCCACTCACGAAAGCAACTCACTGAGATAGCTTAGTCTTGGCATAAGCTTTAGGAAGAACTATGAGGAAGAAGCTTACATTCAGTGAATAGCACCAGTACAAAAACACTCCCAACTCTTTTAAAGTTATATTCTCTTCAGAACCTTCGCGGCACACTTTTACGAGCCACCGTAATTAAAATAAATATAATCATTAGGCACAGTTGGCCTAACCAAAACTTTGAGGGTCGAAATCGAAAAAGTGAAAGAAAACAAACAAAAGTTCCTGAGAAAATCATACCTGAAATGAGGGATCGAAATGAATGGCGAATCCGATGTCATCGTCATCGGTCATGTATTGCCAGCTGGAAGAAACAAGTATTTGAAATTATCCCAAATACCTGGAGCGCCGACTCAGACGGAGTGAGAAGTAAGGCAAAGGGTAGGGACATCATGCGCAAGCTTCGCAATTCACCTAGTGGAAAGATAGGCGGACCCGCTAGGGTGCGGACCGATGCGTAACTCGCAACGAAGGTACCCTCGCCTTCAAATGACCAGAAATTGTGCAATTGCAGAAATTGACGTGGCATTGGCACACGTGGCTAAATTCTCGATGAAAAGGTGACATCACGTGTGCTCAAAGATGTTCTTGAATCGATGTTACGAAGTTATTACGGCAACATTCTTTGGCACCATTATCGAATTCTGAATGATTCTTCGAGCCTACTAGTTAGTACGAGGGTGGTCGTCCTCCTGTCTTAGCGGCGGAGTTCAAGGCTCTGACGAAGGCGAAGAAGCCGAAACGTAAGCCTTGTATAAAAAGTTCAATCTCGAAAGGCTTGAAGAATCATTCCTGAGTGTTCTTGAACCGATGTCACGTCAAATGCCACGTCAATTTCTGCAATTGCACAATTTCTGGTTATTTGAAGGCGAGGGTATGCCCCGACGATCCAGCATGGCCGTTGCCCGCGCCGCAATCGACCCGGCATGCCCATCGGCTGGCTTAGCACTATCCGAAGGATTCTATCCGTTTTAGCACAGAAAGCGTTACTGAAGTCAGTTCAGACCTTCTAGGTGAGTTTAGACTCCTTTCAGGGTTTGTACAAGCCACTAAACCAAATAGGATTCCAGGATGATTTGAAAGAGTGGACCTCTACACTCCTACAGTCCGCTTGTGTGAGGCTATTCATGCCGTACCCCAAGCTGACGCGTGAAAGCACCCCGTCCAATAGTTTTCTCCATCCCCGAAAGGATGTCCTTCATTTGAGGCTATGGGTTCTCAAATAACTTTTGCGCTAAAATTATCACTAATCCTCCAAGCGTGACTATCGCTTGAGAAGCTGCAACTCCTGGGGAACTATTGATAGCATCTTCATAGCCAGATTCTGCTCGATTTATACTAATGGTGACCAAAGAAGGCTTAGAACAGGGTGTATTGTAACCGGCCCCTGTATAGATAATCGATGTATGGAGCAATCTATTTATGACTTTCCTTCTAAAAAGGTTCCTGACCTCGTTCTCCCTCGACGGCGATGCGCAAAACTTGATTAGGAAGCTTTAAATGAAAATCGAAAGGTGAGTTCGGACAGCATATGGCCCTTTTACTAATTACGAGACCAAGTATAGATGCTTATCGGTTAGCGCGAGGGATCCAATGTTATTTCAAAAACGAGAGAATAGGTCAGTACCCTTGAACCAACTCCTTCCGTCCTCCCCGTTCCTCCTCCCTCCCTCCCCCAACATCAGTTTGTGGGGGAACAGGGGTCGGTAGTAGAGCCGTAAATGCCGAGAGTAAAGAAAACAAAGAAAACCTTTGATGAAGCCCTAAACACAAGGAATTACCTTATGAAAAAAGGCAAGGGCGGAGCGAAGAGTTTGTAGCAAACTTGCCGTGCCTCCACGGGTCAACTACCAGCGCTGGAACTGTACACGCGTCCGGTTAAGAGATGTGGCCGCCATAAGTTCACTTTGTAAGAAACTGGCGGCGTTGAAAACTGTGAGTTCAATTTACTGGTTTTCAATGAAGTTGAAGAATGGAGTTCAGGGCAGTGTCGGACATCGTAACCACCCGGAAAACCAAAGCACTAGTTCCACATCTAGCCAACTCCATTTCACCGTTCCTTAATCACGCCCAAAGTAAATTCCCAGCTGGAAGGTTCAATTCTACAGAAGTATTTTGTAGAACGATTGAAAAGAATAGCGCGATATAAAAACGCTCAAGTTCCAGAGATAAGCAGAGAAATTAGCTAGAGAACAACGCACCAGATTTTGCATCTTTCTTTGACTCGAATTGAGATCAGATGCTTATCGCCTGCGTAAACGGTCGTCAGCTGATCGTAGTCTGGCATAGCTCTCTTTGGATCAACAAAGTAATCAGATGGAACAGGTCCCATACCATATCTAAAGCAATCAGATGGCTACATTGTCCGAAGAAACATTGCTGAAACACCAACATGTCCCAAAAGTCGCGCATAATTGCGCATGGCAACATCCTTTGCCACAGCTTGACAATAATTTGTTGAGTCAAATAACAGAAAAAAATATCGGTACCGTATGGTGGCAGGACACTTTGGATCTCCGTTTTCGACCCGATTGCCTCCCCAATGCACAGGCCACCCGTCCAGATTCACGTATTGCGCCAAAGCCCATTTCCAATCAGCCTAAAAGACAAAGAAGTTACGGTGGAAGAAACATTGAGATATTGATCGGCGACTATGTGCTGCACCTTTCCTAAGTTTTCACTTTCTTCGGCTGATGTCAGATTTTGCGAATTGAGTGATGCGCTAGCGTCCGCGGTCGCGTCGCGGCTAGCGAAGGCTCTATTGGCTGGTACCGCAACGCAACCGCAAACGCTGATGACTCGCGCGTT